TTCATCCAAGATCATCACTCTCAATAGATCTAATACATAGCCTAAGGAAGTGATGATTGAGAACCTCTAATCATTATTTCTGTACTCATAGATATATATTAAAGGCGTGAAAAGAAATAAGAGAAGAGCAATATAATCCTATGCGGCGGCTCTGATGATTTGAAAATAGTTGAAGCCGGCACATCTTCGGTAATGGATCGAGTAATCATCAGAAGGACTCGGACTCTGATGTATACTTGGTGTGCACAAGTACATCGCAACTTGAGTATAAAGTCATCCAATTCCATATCTCTCTTTAGCAGCTGTCTCAAGCTCCCATTTCCCTGTCTAGTAATATATCTGCATCTTTGATGTTCTCGAAGAGTCTCTTGGAATTATTACCATACCTTACATACACTTTATGAGGGTTTGTTGAGGGGCACAAGAGATCATTTTCCACACCACAAAGACTCAGGCAGTGGTTATTAAGAGCGAGCAGGTTTGCTATTTCATTCTGTCAAAAGAGGGTTGTATCTTAAGATTGGGTAGTTGTGAGTCCGAGCTTGACCTAGGTACTGAGGCCGATAACGCGCATTTGGCATAAACCCCAAAAATAGATTTCTGCCTAATGAAAAAAGAAATTTTAGAATCTGTATGGTGTGTTTATAGAAATCTAATAAAGAAAGATAGAATTCAATCTTATTGAAGACTTTTTGTGAAACAAATTATATCATTGAATAGCCCTTAGGGTTAGCTTTATTAATCTGTTTTTAGAATTCATTTCGAAATTTTCTATAGGAAGTGTACTAATATTTAAAATCTATCTTCAAATAGTTTTCCTTATAATGCATAGACCACTTTAGGATAAGCGAAATAAGCGAACAAGCTTAGTAAGAATTCCTTATCTCAAGCTTAGTAAGAATTCCTTATCGAGCTTATCTCAGCTTATCTCGTCTCGAGCTCGTTTAATTTGTATGACTAATATAGCTTTAGTTAGGTTTTATAATATTAAATAAGAGAATTCAATTCAGTACACAACTTTAAAGAAATTAATAAAATAAAAGAAAAAGAGGCTTGATTATTAATTAGAATTAAAGGAATCGATTGGTGTATTTCTTTTTGAATTATCTCAAAAATTAAAATTTATATTCAATTCTAACTACTTTCATTATACTTAGGAATCTGTTTTATCTTGATACCTTAATTATTAGGCTCAATGACTAATCAAACCTTGAATAATATTATCAATATTAAACAGAATATTTTAATTCAGTACACAACCCTAAAAGAATTGATAAAATGGAAAGGAAAGAGATGTTATTATTAATTAGAACTCAAGGAATTGATTGATGTAATTACTTTTAAATTATCTCAAAAAATGAAATTTATATTCAATTTAATAATACTTAAAGAATAAAAGACCGAATATAAAAATTAGATCTTTTTCAATTTTATTAGGAATATTTTTATATTAAATTTAAATTTCAATTTTTGAGATAATTTAAAAGTAATTATATCAATCGATTCCTTGAATTCTAATTAATAATAATATCTCTTTCCTTTCCATTTTATCAATTCTTTTAGGGTTGTGTACTGAATTAAAACTTATTCTTAAATACACACCACTAAATTCTAAATTAGATTTTAGCTTAGGCAGAAATCTATTTTTGGGGTTTATGCCAAATGCGCGTTATCGGCCTCAGTACTAGGCCCAAGGTTAATCCGATCCGCCTTCAGCCTGGCCCTCGAACATCAACTGGAAACCACAAGGGAGGAGATTATTATATTACAAGTAGTTCTCCATTGATATTTTATGGTCCAAACTGGAGCCTTTCATGGTCTAGAGTGTCGTCATTAGCTTGAAACCCAAGTTCTTCAGTATGCCGCCTCGAAAAACTGTGCAATATGATGATTACAGGCAAGCTGTTCAACAGGTATGCCTTGTCACAATATCTATACTACTCCCATAACTGACCCACGGAAATAGATTATACTGTCTTCCTCTGATGCTGATTATCTGGATCAACTAATACCCGCCCTAAAGGACGCTACCCTATCCAATAGAACTCCTGGACTCATACGAAGTCTATCACAATATGCGGACGATCGCGAGGCTGACATCGAACGGATTGGTTTGACAAAGCACGAAGAATTCCTAGCATCCGTCAATCAGCTCCAACAAGTTCGAGAAGGAACCTCCCAACTTACATCCGAAATCCTAAAGCTCAATCAATCCATTCAGGCGAGCACAGAAAAACTAGCTGCACAAAAGGAGGCATTGGTGGACACAAGGTCTGTTCGTCAGAATATTGCGGAAGCTTCTGAGGCGTTGAAGGAATCCTTGAAAGTTTTGCATGCCGTCAATCAAGCACATGATTTGATACGGAAGAAGAAATACTATGCAGCTCTGAAGGCGCTGGACGATTTACAGAACGAGCATTTGATTCCAACAATTCAGAACAAATATGCTACCCAACATACCCTCGCAGAAATAATTCAAAAGTCGATTCCCTCCTCTCAGAAAGCTATCTCAGAAGCAGTAATGAGTGATTTGAATACCTGGCTCTATCGCATTCGTGAGACGTCTCAGTTCTTAGGGGAAGTGGCATTCTATCATACAAATATTCGACGAAGCAGGCAGAAGGAGCGCATGGAGGCAAATCCGTATCTTCGAAACTTCAAACTAAATTCAGCCATCGAGCTGGTCTATGATGAAAGTGAGGAATTTGATGTGTTGAACAATGAGGAGCTCCAAGTTGATTTCGACCCCTTATTTGAGTGTTTACATATTCACGAGGCACTCGGTCAGATTGAGAAATTCAAAAGCGAATATGCTGCTACAAGAAGGCAGCAGAAAGATTTGTTGCTGCCCAGCTCCGTGAACTTAACCGATGAAGAAAGCGAACATTTCTTAAGTGCATTGCTGGAAGGTATTGCTGGCTTCGCTATAATAGAAAAGGCTACTATGCGGAAAGTCCATAATTTGCGTTCTCCGGTTGATGTAAATCAAAATTTGTTCGTTGAGAAAGTGTAGATCGGCTAATGTTCTCTAGGTCGATGAGTTGTGGGATTCGATGTGTCATGCCGCCATCAACGCAGTATCCAAAGCTTTGGATGAGTTCGATAACCCGGATGTTATTCTGCAAACCAAAAATGTGATAGCATTGTTCATCCAGACAATGGAGGTAAGCTTGCAAAGCACGATGTAAATGGTCAAAAATACTAACTTTAGGTCTTAGGGCTGGGGATATTCAGTGGCCATATTAGATGCTTATGTGCTTAAGCTTTTCTACAGATATGCTGATTTGTTGAAACGGAAATTCAGTACAGACTTTCAACAGGTCAGTAGCTTTTCCGAAGGCCTAGTGGATATGGGGCTGACCTTTACCAGATTGTGTCTACGGATGAATACATGCCTATGCCTGTCAACAGCGAAGAAGACTTTGACAAAATCATTCAAGTCAGTTGGTACGTTCCAGACAAACCAAAAGAAGAGTACACGTAAGTCAAAATAATCGTCATCTTCTTTTATCATTCTGACGATTGTTAGATTCCCTGGTGTATTGCCATTCTCCCAGATGTATCCGATGTGTTGTATAGATATCAGGAATTTTTTGAACCGATTTTACTTCATAATGGATGATCACTTTCAACAGCCAAATATTATTGATGAGACACTTAAGAAGGTATGCATTGCTGGTTCTGCTTTGCTGCTCTCATCCAAACTAATTTCGTCCTTCTCCAGTCGATAGATGAGCTTCTTTCCGAGGATATCTGTGACCCGCTCGTGGAAAAGTTGAGTACCCAGTACCTGGGCCAGATTGTCCAAATCCTCATAAACCTCGAGTATTTCGAATCAGCGAGTCGAGAATTAGAACAACTTCTCTTAGCCGCACGATCATCCACATCGGCTGGTGGGCCAATTGTTCTTGCTGCTACAGAGAAGTTCTCAAGCAGTAAGAAAGATGCCGAAAAGCGTATTTTCGAAGTAGTCAACTCCAAGATAGACGATTTGGTCGAGACGGCAGATTATGATTGGTGAGAATTCTCGGTGTATTATCTTCTCTCCCAAATTTGACTAACGATTCACCCACTCTAGGATGGCACCTTCTCTAGTATCCGAGCCCAGTAACTACATGCAAACCCTTACAACCTATCTTTCCAACATCATGAGCTCCACTCTCCTTACCCTGCCCCGCGAGATCAAAGAACTCATTTACTTCGACGCTCTCTCCCACGCCGCAAATATGATCCTAGTAAGCTTGACCTTGACCATGTCCTAATTCACAACAACTAATCACCCACTAGGCTATTCCCCTTTCCCCCGAAGTCAAAAAAATCAATCCCCACGGCGTCGCCGCGCTCGCAAAAGACGTAGCCTACCTCTCCGAATTCGTCGATTCCCTTGACAACGCTCTTATCCTCAAAGAGAATCTGGATGAATTACAACAAACAGTTTATTTGATGCAGACAGACAATCCGGATGAGTTTTTCGATATCAGTACCAGGAATAAGAAGTTCGGAAGAGTGGATGCTTTGAACGGGCCTAAGATTTTGGAAAAGTACGTCCGCTTGCTTATGATATGATCTTTTCAGAAAGATTGTGTTTCTGGATATGTTCTAACTTTTTTTGTTTACAGACTTACTCACACAATTACGAGTCCGGCGAAGCCAGATCGTCTTGCTGGATTTTCGTCAAGGTTTGGCATGAACAAGTCATAGATATATGGACATTTCGATCGGCCCCTCTCTCCATGAACAACAAGGACAATTTTATGATCGAATGCACGTGTCACTAAGATATTTATCTGAAAATCATACGTCAACGCCAAATTTATTATCATAGTAGGTATCTGGGGGGAAATTGTATGGAATTCACATTCACATATCCTGCGCCTGTTCTTGCTGCAAAAAACCACAAAGCTAGACTACCTGAAAGATCATATCATATCTCCTCCGAACGCCGTCCCATCACACTTGACCGCCAATCAACAACGACAAAAGTATGGACCTCCATCATCTTATCCTACCTCATAATCACGCTCGCCTTCAGCATCAGCATCGCCGTCACCACCTTCCTGGCGTGGGTAATGATGCGTAGCGTCGGTATTAACTGGATCTTGACGGGGTTGATGTGGGACTTGGTACATTTGCTAAGGCTTCGTTAGATGAGGGTTAGGGAGGGGTAAATTGCATTAAAGGGGTTATGGGGGACGAACTTGTTGAGGTGGAGGCATGGCTGGATATCCATATATCTCATTCATCTCGCCATACATTGGCTGTTGTGCGCCATACTGGCCAGGTTGACCGGGAGGAACTTGTGGTTGATACATGTTTGGTTGATGACGATATGGGTCTTGTTCTGGAGCAATGCCATGACCACCGAGAGAATAATCTTGAGGCATGGATTGTGGGTGAGGGGGGTGACCAGACTGCTGTGGAATATTGGATTGTTGAGGAGGAAGCTGTGCCGAACCGGGAGCAGCGCCGGGAATTTGTGGTGCGGCTTGTCCTGAACCAGAAGGTCTCTTTGCGTGAGCTGCGGCTTCTTCACGTGGAACAATATCAATCAGAAAATCAAACATGTCCGACTTGGCCAATGCAGAAGCAATATCCGATCGTTGCAAGGTGCGACGCTTATTTTCTTCGGCGTGGATCCATGCTCTCATAGTAAGTTCCGTGATAAAGATATCACATCCCTTGGCGAATAGGATTGGAGCTTCGGCGGAAATCATCTTTACTTCGGGATCGGCCTTCATGACTTTCTTGATACGTGCGAGGGGGAGCTGATGAAGCTTGTAGTCATGAGTGTCACCCTCAAGATGATTGATGATTTGTTGCCAATAGGTCGTAAGAATGTCCTTATATTGTCCATGCAGACCTTGGTTTACCTAGCCATCAAATTAGCTCTCGTCTTCCAAGTATCTAGATGATCAAAACTTACATTTGCCCACGCTCCTGTGTAGAATTCTGGAACGGGTGCAAAACCTTGTTGAGATAGCTATTGCAACATTAGTGAAATTCGAAACGCATATATCTAAGTTATACCTACCAAGGCACTGGCACCTGTTGCGCGAAGTCAATTAGTATTTGCTTGATATAAATAGAGTACTCGAGAAATTAAGAAACGAATGAGTGGAAAGATCAAACATACCATAATGACCTCCTTGACTTGTATCATAAACAGGCTGTTGCGTCTGCGCCGGTCGTTGTTGTGAAGCGGATGGCTGCTGCTGTTGTCCATGGGACGAGCCGGGTGGTGGAGGATCCATATTTGTTTTTATGCTTGCTTCTCCCGATTCGTATCGAGGTTGTACGTGGGTAAAGATCTCGAAAGGTCGCGCTTCTGAGGTCTTTAAATATTTCCTCCAGCTGTCTTACTACGGCCGAGATTAATTGGCGCGAAGTGTATGGAGAGATAGAAAGGTTGGCCAAATATTTTGGCAGTACGGTCGACTCGTGTCTTCGAGACTCAAGTTTCGTTACTCGGATGCTAGGTGACGGTGAGCGACGGCAGGCTAGCTGCAGATGGGCTGACTTGAATGATTTTGGAGAGGTTCAAAGTGGCATTGAATGCCTCTTTAATTGAGGAGCTTTGGCTTGCGCGACGACCGCGATGGATGGAGTAGCTTGTTTATGGAATTTGGGGGTTTGATTGGTCGGAAGTTGATAAGGTTGTGGGAGCTTGATTGATGGGCGCACCAACTGTTTAGATGGTGGACGGATAAATAAGCGGCGACGCGGGGATTGGATGAATCATTCACCAGTGAACATGCTGAGGGGAAATTTCAGTGTTAGCTTGGCGGTTGGGGGTTGTTCTTCGGCTCGCTCTCAAGAATTTTATATGTACAAAGTATGTTCAAATGAAAACTTCATCTATCGAAGAATAAAATGTTCAATTGAATTCGTTAGATATTTCTCATGATATATGTTATTATGCTACTTCAATGATACAAGAACGATGTCATCTATGCAGGGTTTTGTGACAGCTCTTTCTTTCTTTTGTGCGTTGGCTCACCATATATATGAACAGGGCGAACAGTGAGGCAAGAGTGCAAGGCAAAATATGAGGCAAGACGAGGCACAAGGTACGTGGGGATTGGCACGACTGATGGATAAAGTAACGTAGGATTCGATTTATATGTTTTACCGGCAGGAGAAGAAGAATGGAGAGTTCTAGTTCTAGTTCTAGAACTCCAAGAGTTGGAGACACTTCCTCGTAGTATTTCTTCGTGTCTATCATGATTTCTGCTTGGGTGACGAGGGTGACTATCCATATCTGCTCGAGATCTGAAAGTCTGAAAGTCACGAGCACGGACATTCTATTCTGGTAAGCTCCGTGGTAACTAAGCTAATCCTAGCTTAGTTTGCAGAAATAAATTTTAGGCGACCTTGATCCACCTGGAATATTTTATTTCTCTTAAAGCTCACCCAATCCTTCTCAACTTCATTCCAATTAATATCACCATCATCATCATCATCAAAGATGGCCGACAATGATCTTTCTGATGTTCAAATTGAGCAATTGTTGAAGGACGCTGAGGAGCGGATGAGAAATGCAAAGCAAGTCATCGTGAGCGATGACAGCTCTACCAAATTTTCTCTTCCAAAGTAAGTTTTACCCACGATGCGACTTGTTCAGTTTTGAGCTTGGCTAACATACATTCTCCTTCACAGCCTTGGTAAAACTTCAACATCTGCAATTACTCCATACATCACATCGACAGGACACGTGGATGCTTCTCAACTCGTACCCGCCAAGGACAGAAAACTGGCCAATGGTGTACGAACGGTGGAAGATCCAATTGTGACGAAAGCTAAAGCTGCAAAGGTAAGAAATCAATCTACTTTATCTCCGCTGTGCCCTTCTGTGAGGAAAATTTATCCCATATAAACGGACGCAGGACCTGGCCCCGTCTTGGGCGTCAACCTGCACAAGCTGAAGACCTTACATTCATAGTTACTCTGAGAAGAAGCCACTATACTAGTCTTTTGATACAAATTTTGGATTTGAACATCAAGCTAATATCATTATCAACAGGCGAAACAAGCTACTGCTGGAGCCAAGTGGTATAACATGCCTAAGACTGTGGTCACTCCCGAGCTCAAGCGCGACCTTCAACTCCTCCGTCTCAGAAGCGTATTGGACCCCAAACGTTTCTACAAAAAGGATTCGGCGAGAGCGGAAGTTCCAGAGTACTCTCAAGTAGGCACAGTCATCGAAGGTCCTACCGAGTTCTTTTCGGCCCGCCTCACCAACAAGGAACGCAAACAGACCTTTGTCGAACAAGTCCTTGCAGGCGAGAAGGCAAACCACAAGTTTCGCAATAAGTACAATGATATCCAAGCTGCAAAGGCTAGTGGAAAGAAAGAACATTACAAGAAGATGAAGGCATTGAGAAAGAGAAGATGAGCGCACTGAGGTCGGAAGACATCATAACAAGTCAACTCTCCAGACTTGATCATAAATTACAGGCACGCCTCTGACATGATCTTAATGTCGAACCTTACATTCAAGAATGTCCCGACTTTGATCACAAACACATACCAAGCCATCTTGATGAATACCAGAGTCTTAGCCACGTTGCTACAGACGACCGTGTCTTGCAAGTTCTTTTTGCTATCATTTTATCGGTACGTTCAAAACTTTCTCTCAGCATTTCCCATCCCCCCAAATATGTTGTGATGAAAAACACAGTCAACAGTTATCCCTGTCTTAAAGAATACATGTGGATTTTATAATTAGACTCTGAACATATTACCATCTATATCCTTTTTTGTTTGATTTGGTTTCAAGAATTGTTACTAACAATTTCATCAGATATTCTGTTCTCAGTAGGTACTGTACTAAGTGAGGTGGTCACAATCAAACTTTGACTTGCCGCCGCATAGCTTCACACGCAGCATATGCGGGTCAACACGCAATGTGGTTGATCCTTCAATGAAGAGTATACCCCATGGGTTCTTCTCCTTTTTAATGGGCAGAGGAGGAGTCGAGAATGCTCATGGCACTTCAAAAGCTAAGTCCGCTCTCATTTTATTTTTCGATAGATTTGGTCATCCATCTAGCCATCTTCACACCTTTAGAATAAAGATGCAGCAACAGAACATGATGCCTTCATGTAGCCTTCAGATGCACTTGAGTAAATAGCAAAGAAACGAATAAACGAAAGACAATTATAATTATCTGTCATCACAAAACCCCATTGCTCGATAAATTTGTGAATAAGTGTCGTGACCCAGCGTCCCTGAAATTGTACCACTCTCCCAAACTGTCCACAAACCATAAATTAGTAAAGAATAGATCTCGAACTTTCAGATAGAGTGGTGCGAGACAATAACTTCTTGACTTGAGCTTCACAATAGCCCCCCGCAGTACCATGCCGAAAGTACTACAGCATACTTATTGCACCTTGTTTATTCCAGGGGCTGCCTTTGGATCCCCCGAGCTCAAGTCTATTGTGTATCGTCAAATAGGCCAAAGTTGATTCCTCCGAAACCGAACGGAAGTCTAATTCCACCTTTCGAAGTCAAGTGTCATCTTGTGTCCAATTCGTTCTATTATGATCACTCTCTCACTACCCGTCGGCAGTTTTCTTGCTGATGATGTTACTATTATTCTCTCTCCAGCTGAACCTTATGACGATGTTGTTGTTCACTCGCTTGGCTTGCTGGTATGTAGAGGAGGGAGGGCTTTAAGGGAGTTTGTATAACTACTGCTGATTCGTGTTTTTGTGGCTGAGAAGTCCCCCTTTATGAAATTGGGTTTGGCGGGATACATCGCCTTTTTGGTTTTGAGAGGGGAGTATTAAGTTTCCCACTGGCATTTATGGGGTTTGCATGTTAGGAGTGGAGGAAGGGCATGTGAATTTTGTCAGTAGATTTCTTGTCGAGTACTCAGTTTATGTCTCGATAATCTTGTAGGAAATGGTATCATTTTCTTGGAAGCGTGGATTGCGGAAACGCTAATGCATTTCCTTTGAATGCTGTTTCGTAACGGGGCAATCGGCTCTGGGACTTTTACTGAGGAAGACAGAATACGGAGAGGCTGTTATACTTTTGGGGGATGGTGTTGAATAGTTCAAATATAGAAGAGCGATAAATGAGAAGTTTGAAAGAGGGTTTTGCTAGGGCATATGTCAAGAGGTCTTGAGCTATCATTGAGAAGGTAGGTGTCTCGAAGCAGACCGTAGTCTCTATAACTGCTCCTTTTCCAGAAACGACTGCAACGATAAGAAGGAAGATCGATCGATGCTCTCACATAAAGTGCAAGAAATACTCAATCCACTTGGCAAAATCCCGCGGGTACATCTAAAATGAGATCACTAACTTTTGGCCATTTTGTCATACATTTGGCTGTGAAAGTGTACGCAATCAAGTTCGCACATTACTCACATTCTGCCTAACGACTGACACATTCCCGGCTCTAGCTAGACGCTGTGGTGAGGCCTAATATGCTCTGTACGTGAAGGGAGCTCGACTAGGTCATATGTGTTTGCCGGACCAGGAAGGCATACTTGTGAGAATTAGAGACGGCATGGAATCTGATATCAGGCTCTTCTTATCCATAGTAGAGTCGATAAAGGTTCAAAGGGTAGCTCAAAGAACGATAGCTCAGGCCCAGGAATCTTAATGGTGTACGCAGTCACTCTCGATAGACTTTTAAGATTGGCTCTTTCCAATTCTTTATACAATTGAATCTATAAAAAAAGATATCATAACTATCTACATACAAATCATATAACTATATACAAATTGCATTCCTGAGTATAGAAATATAATCAACATATGCTATATAAAAATTCCGTAAAATCCGATGCATAAGTTTCTTTCGCTACGCTCCGAAACATATCTGGAAATGAGCCGTGTTTGTCGACGCGAACATCCTTAAAATTTCAAACAAAAACTTGAGAAAGATTACAGTTCAATGAATCAGATATTGACAGAGACTTCCTGGAGGGAAAAATAGTCATATTAGTAGTACATGAAAGATAACTAAGGAAAGTGTTGTGGGATATTCCATAATCAAGGAATCTCTGTCAAGTTTTTGCTTAGTGCTCTACACCAGCTGGTGCAATGCCGAAAACATCGTTTGGAGATTTATGAAGAAGCGTGTCAACCACCTTGTAGGCTAGCAGTGAGGTGTCACCGCCAGGATTATGTCTGAGAAATTTGTTTCGATCCTTCCAACACCAGAGAAGTTGATATAGGTTTCGTGAACACACTAACACTTTACTTGTCCAACTGTCTGGACGCCACATTCTCACCATCTGATCTGACTTATAAAGCTCACATAGAATATGTAATCAAACCGAAGATGTATTAAGAGATGCCCATTTGCTACTTAGCTCAGGAGTTGATCAGAAGGTAGGATGCAGACTCTCGAGACCAACGTAACCTGAAAGTCAAAATTACTCAGATAGTTTATTTGTACGAAGTTTTTGTTGCCCACAAAATTACTTCTTTGCTTTTGTCCCTCAGCCTTCCGAACTCCCAAGGCTAAATGGGTTGAGCGGTGATTTCACCTGTAAACGTTGTGTGATCTCACGATGCTGGCCCCGGTGAGCTTGGGGTTTGCTCCCGGTGAGCTCAATTGACAGGAGTAATTTTGGGCGTTGGCAAGCTTGATTGGAGGATGTCTATAACTTTCCTCTAGGCCAAACACTATTGGTAATATCTAGAAATGTATGTAGATGCAAGGCCCATAGTATTCCATTCCTCAGGTGAGAATAATGCCTAAAAATAACGAACGAACATGAAGATGGTTGAACCTGAAAGTGCCTCTCGGATAAACGTCGGCTTTAGATATCCGAACCTCAAATTGTTCGATATCATAGAACTCTACCCAAAAAGTCCAATTTAGCATTTCTCATAACTTTGAGCCAGGCATGGCTACTCCAATTTTCACGCGCATACCATGGCGCACAGTCAGTAGGCTGGGAGTATCGGTATGTCAATGAAACACTTTACTGCGCAAGGAAGGAACACAATTGACAATATTCGCAGGCAAAACCAGTCTTCTCGAATGCCCTTAAAACACCACAATGTGCGGTTGCACCATTCACATCACAGTCTGTTAGATATGCATCGAATCAACCGTACGCACTTTCAATTCAATTATTGAGGCTTGGAGACTAACGATCTCACAGTGATGCACCAGAACCTGCCGCTGCAGGAACAGCCTCGATGTATTTACCTCGATAATCTCATAGATTGGCACTATCTAACCAGTCGACAGAACTCCGCCAACAGCAGAACCTGCCGCCGAAGAACCATCTGACGAAGATGTCTTCAATGTCCGTTACCCCCGTAACGTTCAAGCAATCTACCTCAAGCCCCTCCGCCGCGAAGCCAAATACGGAGTCCCCTCATGCGATCTCCAACTCCGATCTTACAGTATTCGTAACCTAGAGTTCTTTTCCGATTTCGCTCTCCGCGCTGCATATTATCTCAAATTACCTGCATACGGCCCTGTACCACTGCCTAGAATGATAGAGAGATGGACTGTACCGAGATCGCATTTCGTTCATAAGAAGAGTCAAGAGAATTTTGAGAGAAAAACCTTGAGGAGGTTGATTCAGATCAAGGATGGACACCCAGAGACCGTGAGCTTATGGTTGGCCTTTTTGAGGAAACACGCGTACTACGGGATAGGAATGAAGGCGAATGTTTGGGAGTATAATAAGATTGGTGAGTTTCTTCTTTGCTATGGGTGGGAATATCACTAATATGTGCATGAATAGGCGTGGGTAAAGCTATGGATGCTAGTATGGAGGAGATGAAGGAAGTCATGGAGCCACAATGGGAGTTGTTTGGTAGGGGACAGAGTACTAAGACTGCAGATAAGGTTCTGGAGATTTTGAATAGAGAGAGCTTCAAAGCGGCTGCGGGAGGTAGCGCCCCAGGCATGAGGGTCGAGCCATGAAGTGGGCTTGCTTGAAATTCATGAAAATATCAAACAAGGATTTGACGAATGAAAAGTAGATATCAAGAGGGAATACACATGGCCACACATGGACTGTGGAGTTTGGGATAAGTCTTGATGTATGATATGTATATGTAAAAGTAAATGAATCAAGACACTAGAACCAATGGATTTTTGTCGAGTAAATGTTATTCTGCAGCAGAATTCACCTCCGATATGAAAGTTTCTTCGTTCCAAATTTGCATATTGAAATCGAGATTAGTCACGTGCAATAGAAAATCAAATTTCAAGGCAGATCATTCCACTCGCATCTCGCGTGCAGCTACCCCTCCTTTTCCAATCGCCTCCCAAAAACCCCCAAGCCCGCCATGCTTAAAAGCTGCCCACCCCGGCAGATGCTTCAGAACGTGAAGTCACGAATTCTGCAAGTTACTGCCCCTCTGAATCATGTATCCAAACGACACCAAAGCACCCGACCCTCCCCGCCCAAAATAATTTTTTCCGGTATCCAGCCCACTGGAATACCGCATCTCGGAAACTATCTTGGGGCATTGCAAAACTGGGTGCGGTTACAGGATACAGCGGAATCGAGTACGAAGTTATTTTACTCGATTGTGGATTATCATGCGATTACGATACCGCAGAAAAGGGAAGAGCTGAAGCGGTGGAAGAAGGAGAGTTTGGCGACGCTCTTGGCAATTGGATTGGATCCGGAGAGGAGTACGGTCTTTCATCAGAGTTCTGTAGGTGCTGTGTTGTTTTTATTCGGTATTGTGGGAGTGACAACGTGGTGAGAGATCAGGGTGTAAACGGAGATTTGGTTTGATTAGTAGTGAACGAAGCTGATTTTGTGTGTTTGAAGGTTGCAGCACATACGGAGTTGATGTGGATATTGAGCTGCACGGCTTCGATGGGATACCTGTCTCGTATGACACAGTGGAAGGTTTGTCTCTATCTCTCTGCCGCCGTTTTGACATACTTCACTTGGGCATTTCACTGATGTGCAACAGAGTAAATTATCTCTCGAAGATGATGCTTCACCATTAGATGGTGGCAATAAATCGAAGCTCAAGTTGGGCTTGTTTTCGTACCCAGTTCTGCAAGCTGCGGATATTTTGGTTCATAGGTACGTATAGTAAACATCTACTCACTTCATCACATTTTCTTCCACATTCGTCTCTTTTGGCCTGCAAACGAAGCTGATAATATACATCGAAAGAGCAACCCACGTTCCTGTTGGTGAAGATCAAACCCAACATCTGGAATTCGCCCGTGAATGCGCTACAAATTTCAACCATGCATATGGACCCCATCTCATTGCGCCTCAGACTCTCCTTTGTAAGTGTCTATTTATTCTTCACACCATCATTCTTCATATAATTTCGATCGCCAGAAATCAGCTTCAAATCAGCTTCACTCTAGAACTAACACACCTCCAGCCCCAGCAAAACGCGTTATGTCTCTCCAAACCCCCACCCAAAAGATGTCTAAATCGCATCCCTCCCCAATATCCCGCATCCGCCTTACCGACTCACCCAACACCATCACCAAAAAAATCTCATCTGCCCTGACTGACTCCCAGAACGCCGTTTCTTATTCACCCTCTGAGCGTCCTGGCGTTTCTAATCTTCTCACACTATGGTCATCATTTGATACCCAAAATCCAAAACGAACACCGGCGCAAATAGCCGAGGAATGCAAAGCAAAGAAGTTTACTTTGGGAGACTTGAAGCGGGAAACTGCTAATGCGGTGAACACGGGACTGGAGCCAATCAGAAAGAATTATGAGAGACTGTTGGGGGATGAAGGGTATGTGGAGGATGTTGCGAGGAAGGGAGGTGTTAAGGCGAGGGAGAATGCGGAGAGAACTATGGTTGAAGTTAGAGAGGCAGTGGGATTCTAGATGGACTTGAAGTGAGCGATCGCAAATCTTTGCATTGGAAGGGCAATTATGCAAAAGTTATTCAAGTGTAAGGACGAGACTCTCTTGGCATGAAAAAAAGAGAACTCAGAATCACCTCCCTGTATTATATTAACTAGGTAAGCAAACAATAAATACACCAGCTATACTTCAAAGGCTTCACTTGATATTTCCATTGCTCTTTAGTCCTTCCTCTATCGAGTCTCACAAATTCTTCTCTCGTTCCGTGCTTCATCAGGCTTTCCCAACTTCAATTGACCTCATCTTCTTCGCTCACTCCCACAACTCCTCTCGTCAATATCAGATGACATAACCCCCAAAACACATTCACTCCCACCACCACCAGCCGCCCACTCACCCATTCCACAGCCAAACAAACCACCACCTGCAACCAACAAAACGACAAAACAAAATAGCAAAAAACCGGTCTAGGGGGAAAAACCCCTCTCTGAAGAGAGGTTTTTATTTCGCAGCTATGCCCTTCGATATGGGGATAGTACAGTCGCGGCTCAAACACCAACACCCACCCTTTCGGGTGGTTAAAGCGCAGTGGTCGACCAACTGCGCCAGGGCGACGCGATGTGGTGTTTGATGACGTTAGGTGAGGTTTTGGGATACATATATCTTTCTATAGGTAGTGAATGTATTTGGAATATGTTTAGGTACCTATGTAGGTAGGTACTTGCATACTAGATTGGTGGGTAGGTATATTGGATGCCATGTTCTCAAGGAATGGATCTTCTTGTGGGAGATATTGATCCTTTTTTTCAGCGTCTTGTCTTTGATATTGTACATCTATTGGATTTATCTGGAATTTTTAACCATGTGTCTAAGTATATATTCCAATTCAAGATGGATATACACACTGTTACCATGAATGGTCTAGATCCGCACTCATTGTCCCTCCCCCCTCTATCCCAGAACATCTCACAAAGGACTTTTCACCTGATTCCACTTCCATAACGTAAGAGACGTTGTACCCGAATATCAAGCAATAGCGCTATGATAAAACGCAGCAGCGACATAAAACCATCTCACAAACGCTATCCGCTAGTTCGTACGTGACCTGCAAACCTTTACTTTTTGTCCTCCTCAATCCGTTGTCCAGAGCTCAACCTACAGCGGTGGACACCTCCGATCCCCAACATCGCAGCGCATTCTGTTAATGGGCGTGAGAATCCACAGGACGCCTCAGTACTCGATGGGAAACTGTCAAGCAGTGCCTAGAGTGCAAGAAAAGTTTACATTCTGAGAATACTTCAAGAGACTAGTGATAAGTAACGGGCAGGTGGTGAATGTATTTGAGAGCTCTTCCTTCATCAGAAGCTGTAACTGATTTCATGTGAGCGTCTCATGATTTCAGTTCTTGTAGTCTTTCGTCAGGATTAGTCTCATAGACGTCATCACACAATTGTTCATAGCAAAATTGGAAGCAAGTAAATCTCTGATTTATGTTTAATATCTATCGCCTGCTCCCCATTCATAAGATGCATCTTCTAGTCAACGCCCTCAGATTGTATAACTTTTATGTTTATTGGAATTGCCTGTTCGGCTTTTCATTAATCCTCAGCGCTGGCATCTAATGTCTTTATTTCATCCACTAGTTGAAAGCCAAACTCTATTTAGACTGACATATCCTTCAACTTCTCCGCCGCCTCAGCTGGAGTAGCACCGACAGGTGCGACCTTTGGTTTTGGTGCTTTCTCAACCTTACCCTTTGCTTTTTGGGATGTAGTATCTTTGGGCAATTCCTTGGAGAAAGGAATGAATTCAGGGGCGCCAGGGAGATATTTGCGGAGTGGCTCTGGAACGTTGAATCCCTAATTACAGTCAGCAAATAGAACCCCCCAGAAAGTTTCTTTCTACTTACTTCTTCAGTTTGGAAATTCTCCAAAAGACAGCACAACGCACGCTCAGTTGCACACAAAGTAGAGTTAAGTGCGTGAACGTAGTTCTTACGAATTCCAGTTTGTGTCTTGGGTCCATATCTGATCTCAAGAGCTCTGGATTGGTAATCTGTGCAATTTGAGCAAGAGACAAGCTCTTTGTATTCTCCTTGGAAGGGGAACCAAGCCTCGAGATCATATTTCTTGGCAGCTGCGTTATTGAGAGCACCCGAGACGATTGCGACAACTCTGTATGGAACACCGAGGGATTGGTAGAACTCCTCTGAGAAGCTGATCATACGGTCAAACTCCTCCCATGACTTTTCTGGGTCGGTGAGAACGAATTGTTCGATCTAAAATGGTTAGAAAAAGCAGGCTGAACTCATGCTACAAAGAATGTATACCTTCTCAAATTGATGAACTCTGAAAATTCCCCATGCGTCCCTACCGTGAGAACCAGCCTCTCGTCTATAACATGAAGAGAAGCCAGCATATCTTTGAGCTTAAGTCAGTTCAACATATTTTCGCCCAGGTTTTCCTTACGTACCTGATAGGCATATCCTTAGCAGTCAACCACTCATCAGCATGGAAAGCTGAAATTGGCTGTTCAGAGGTAGCAATAAGATATTTATCGTTTTGGGCATCTCCATCAACAACTTTGTAAAGTTCTTCGTCGAATTGCTCCAACTGTGCGGTCTTCGCCATGTATTCCTTCAACATAAATTGAGGAGTCTGTAATGGTGTATATCCCTTGCTATCCAAGAACTCTAAGCCATAATTGATTAAAGCCTGATTCAAGAAGACACCCCACTTCTTCAAGAAATAACCTCTGTGTCCTACAACCTTAACACCGCGCTCTGGATCATAACCATCCAATCTTGTCAGAACCTCATGATGTGAAAGAACGTCTTTCTTCTCAACAGTGACACCCTGGGGGGCCCATTTACGCAGTTCTTCGTTGTGATCCTAGTACCCATTAGCCACACCGGACCTGAAGAACCTCGTATGCTGCCAATGTAAAAATACCTCGTCGTTGTTCACAGGCACAGATTCATGAACAAGGTTGCCAATTGTGCCAATCTTCTTGTTTAAAAGTACTTCTTTCTCTGCTGCGGCGTCATCCCAAGTCTTCTTCTCCTTCGTTAAATCGGCCTTCTTTTGTAATAATTCGCTAGCATCCTCCTTGGCCTTCTTTTTTGCGCCAATCTCTTTTTGAGTTTCGTTGATCTTGCTGTTGACCTGTGTAGCTGCGTACTGGGCTGTGATCATTTGTGAGTATTTTTATACTTGGGCTTGTGTTTACTGGCTTACTTTTGCGGTGATCCTCATACATAGCAATCACTTCATCAACAACCTCTTCAGGAGCATATCTGCGGCGCTGAGAGTCCTTGATCTTTTGTGGGTTTCCACCCCTCTCAGTAATGAAATCGTTAACGTCAAGCATTTTGAAAATAGTTTAGCACACTCAAATATGTATGCGACGAGGAATCCTGTGTGTTTGGGCCGGTCAACTTTTTGAGTCACTAGTAAATTGTTCAAAGTACGATTGGTGGGGTCGCGATTGCAAGGCTCCGCTAAGATAACATTCTGGCTGATTGTGCTCAGCACGTGATATGTGTTTTTGGTATTCACTACCCCTTTTCGCACTACCACTTCGGCGGGCCTTGTCGCCTGACATTTCTTTGCATGTTGAATCTGTGTTTAGTACCGGCTAATCATGGTGTTAGGTTGTACAGATCTCTTCAATGCAATCTATACAAGACTAACGTGTTGGGACAGACAGTGAATACCGCTTAACGTGTACCATTGAACCGTTCGCAAACTACCTCCTTGTAATATCAACGTTAACTGAAGACATAGCAAGACATATGCCTCTGTGACTAAATATCTAGAAAGATGCCTCTCCCAACTCCAAACTCCCATACTAAGTTAACCACATTCAGACATGAGACATCATATTCCAACGTATACACCAATCCCTTTGTCCCTCACATGAGAATACATTTGGAATCTCCTGAAGGCTCGTTAGGATTTTCACCTTTCTCGATTTGCTCAATCATGAGTTCAAATCCCTTGGTAACATTCTCGTTATAACGTGCACTTGCTTCAGTGAAAGCACACTTGATTTTTTCAGCCAATGCCTTGCCTTGCTCAGCAGTGACCTGGCGCTGTTCTGGTCGAAGATCACTCTTGTTACCAACAATTGTGATTGGAACCCATTCAGTACCCTATAAAGTGTCAGAGATATTGATCTTTGAAGGAGGTTAGAGGAGAATTGGAATATCTATCATACCAAGTGATTCAATATCTTATCCTTGATGACTTCTACCATTTCAAAAGATTGCATAGAAGCAACAGAATAGACAAGCACATAGCCATGGATGCCAATGAAATGCTTTGAATTTAAGATACTGTATTCATCCTACAATGTGAAGTCTATTAGTCGTTTTTTCAGCTACGTGATGACATGTGATTTTGGATCAAATAGTATGCAAGCAGATGGATATCTTACCTGACCAGCTGTGTCAACGATCTCAGTGGCGAACTCTTGCCCTTTGTACTTGATGACCTTGCTGAAAGTATTTTCGATAGTCGGATAATAACTTTCTACAAAGTGACCATCGACAAATTGTACAGTAAGTGAAGATTTGCCTGTAGAAGAGAAGGGTTACTTTGATGTGTTGTATTTTACATCACACATTATCATGACATACCGACAGATCGACTGCCTACAATAGCAATCTTGCGTTGTTTAGGTGGTGCAGGCATAATGAAGAAGAAGTAATAATCTTGAATAAAATTATAAGAAAAGGGGGTTCTTGCAATTGAATACAAGGAGAGCGAGATATGGAAGAGCTTTTGATGTTTTTTTGTTGTGTTGGTTCTTGTCTGATGAAACAGGACAAGGCTGAGGAGGTTGTAATTAAGTTGAAAGTAGGTAGACCGACCACTTTATTAGTGCTTCAATGGGTTTTAAGTCCAATGTTCTTACAGCGCCTGAGCGCTAATATTTAGGCTGAGCGGACCCAGATTAAGCTCGGCTCGGAAGACGACACCACCCCAAGTCCACGGTGGTCGATAGATGAAAAGACTGGA